CACAATCTAACGCTGCTTTAAACTATGCTGCTGCTTTCTTCGTGTTCCTTGCTAATGAGTGGACTTCCTGAGGCCACTGATTGCATTGGATTATATTTAGGCTTATCAAGGTAAAGTGGCTTAGTAAATTACTAGATTAATAGTAAAAAATAAAAAAACATAAATAAATAAAACCATGTAATACGTTCTTTTGACTTCACAATCATGCAGGTCTTTCCACATCGTCTTCAAGTAAATTTATATGAAGTGTTGCTTCTAACATGTAGAAAGATTCACAGGATTTGAATACTTTTATAAGGCCCTATAAATAATCTACAGTCACAGGAAAAATGCATTAGTTTGTCTTACTGATAAATGTTACTTGTTTGGACTCCCTGCAGCAAGATAAGCATCCAGGCATAAATCGGAAGGCACCATGAAGGTCACTCAATTTCTTTTCTTTTTTTTTTTTTTTTGTTTGCCTTTTGTTTCCACTATGTTGCCGCAACTAAATCTGATATTTTATCTTTTTTGGGTCCTATTCTACCCAGCATCGTTTTCTACGATAGGCTTGCTGGTCTCTCTTTCTGGTGCGAAAACAATCATTGTGCGTCACGGAATGACAGAGTTTTGTTTGTGTGTTCATTTAAGCTTCAGGTGAGAGATGCCTAATCTTTCGTTGGCAAATACTGTCAGAGCAGCTTGTTTCGGACTTGACTTACGGACCAACAGCAGAACTTTTAAACTCTTTGAGACGCAGGGAAGATGGGGGGGTATTTAGGCTCCAGCGTGATATGATCAGTTTCCTTGGTGTTGGTTTGGACTCAGGCTTCAGCATTTTAAGATTTATTTTCAAAAACCAAGTAGATGTTGATGTATTCTATCTTACCGCAAAAGAAAAGCATGTACCAGTGTTCACTGCATCCCGTTCTGACAAGAAACATTTATGATCTTTAGCCCCGTTGAGTCTTGCCAAGCACCATTACCTATTCTTGCATTTTGAGACCAAGAACATAAAGTTCTGTCTAATCTGCATCAAGCTAGAGCAAATTTTAGAGCTAAGACTGTCTTGAGTGCAAACTGAGTCATGCATCGACACGGAGATAAAAAGTTGTTGTCGCCACAACACGTACGGTAAGAGACGATATGAATCATGTTCACACACCGTGGAGTCCGTCTATAACGAGAGATAAAATAAAAAAGGACTGCATTACCATCTGCAATGTGCTTTATTGTGATTGCTATCATCATAATCATTGTTGCGACCACAGTCAGAACAATTCACTGTCAGTTAAATGATGTCAGAGACGTGTGTCAACGTCGGCTCTATCTTTAAGCCGGTCTCGTTGATCAACACAGTCAACTAGCAGCCTGATGGATAACACTCAAAGTAAAGATCTGAGCTCCATTCAAGTGTGTGTGAGCGTTTGGTGCGGGCGTCTCTGCAAAGACCAACAGCTCTTTTCGTGATATGCGTAGAAATGAATCGAGAGCGAGACTGATTACCCATCTCTGTCTGTAATGGAGTCTGTCTGTGGAGCGGCGAGACAAACCTGGATTTTTTTGTTGTCGTCGCCCTCTCCCCTCACCATCCATACCACCGTGTGTGTTTGTGTGAAACACTGATTACCACTGTGAGCAATCAGGAGCTGCAGTTTGAACCGACAAAACAAACCCAGTGTGAGGGAGCTGGGGTGTCTGTTGACCATACGCGGCCCATTAAGCAGCAATCAACCCTCGCTGACCTGCTTAGTATTCCCTAGGGATACCCGACAGCCAAGGAGCGATGGCTGGATATTGAAGTTTGGACAAATTGTGTTCTGGATACAAAAGAGCTGGAGGGCAAACTGAAAACAAAAGAAATGCAAAGGTGAGAATGCTTATATATGTGGATCTTCATTCTACTGGCTTTAAATGACTGACAAATTTCAGCCTATTTAAATGTGCAATTCAGCAATCAGATGGCAAATTTGACAGAACTGCTAAAGTCAGCTTTGTAGTTTAGAGATTAGATTGGGCCTAGCAAAAATCAGAGCCTACACGACTAATTAAGTTTAATTATACACCCAAACCCAGAGAAAACCCAACATATTATTTCAATCAAGATTTTACTGCTTTCCTTTCTAAACAACCATTAAAGAAAGCAGCAAAAAAAAAATTAGCCTCTGTCTAATGTCTTCCAGCTCCGTTTTATCGCTTGTTGTAACCTCAGTTATGTGCAAATCTTGTGGGATGTGTGATCGATAGGAGCGGAGCCACACGCTCATTTCATACTTATTACCATCTGATCCTCTATTTACACTGTAACAAGTAGATTAACACAACTTCACATAATGTATCTCGTTTGGTTTTCTTTGTGCTTTGAATATTTTAGGTTTATTAGGACCGCCACGTAAGCTTGAGCCAAACCCGACAATCAAGCAAAAAAATATGTTCGGGTCTGGATTTCAGGTTAGGTTTTAGACATAAATCTAAATTCAATCATAATCTGTTATCAACCTTGTTAAAAAACAAAACATAAAGGACAGCACGTTGTAGATCTGATCACTGTACTAAGCTTAAAATATTAGAAATGGGAATAAAAAGTGCCAGCCTGAGGTATTTGTGGATGGAGTTTGAATGTTCTCTCCATGTGTGTGTGGGGATTCTCTCTGGGTGCTCCGGCTTCCTCTCACGGTTCAAAAACATGACCGTAAGGTCAATTGGTCTCTCTAAAGTCCACCTGGGTGTGTGTGTGCGTGTGCATGTGTGCTGTTTGTCCCGTTGGCTTTCATGGTAGCCCGGGTGAACTGACAGCGTTGTGCCCTGCCTCTCGCCTGGTCACTGCTGGAAATTGCGACCCTGCTGCTGGATTATAATCAGGTTGCAAACTGAGATTTAAAAGGCCCAAAAAAAAAAGGGTGCGTAGTCAAACACACTGTTCAGCTTGTTATAATATGAGTTTGAGCTCCTGAGAGCAATCATTCTATAACAAATGTTTGCAGGAGCAGCCCTCATGGCAAAGTACCAGATTTTACACCAGTGGCTGTGGAAGAGATTATTTTGGAAAGGTGACAAAATGAAATATTTTTTGCCTGAGCAGTCTCTATCCTCAAAGATTTGCTCATTGGTTCGAATTTTCTCCTTTCTAACGCTGTGAAAAAGAAAAACCGATATAATGAGTAAAAATGTGGCTTCCACCATAGTCTACATTGTTGTCTCACTGAGACAACACCACTCCGTGGAACGTGAAGTGATCATAATGACAGCTGTTAGCCAACCACAGCCTGAACAGAAACATACAGAAGCACTTGGAGCCGTTTTCTCTGAAAAACACACATCAGCTGATCAAGTCAGCAAATCACGTCTGCTGCTCCAGTGATCAATAGCAGAAAATAACACGAATATGCAACTTTGTCCAAATTGTGTGAAGTCGAAATTTAAAAAAGGAAAGTGTTTTTTTAACTACTTAGGAAATGCATGTATTTTGGAAATACAACATTTCTACCCAAAAATGAGGGTTTAAAAGGCAACACTAAGTTTCGCTCTATTCTTCCTTTAAACAACATAAACTCCACCAATGACTTCAAGTAATATGTAACTTTGCAACTAACAACACAGATTTTTATTATTCTTTGCTGCTGACTAGTCTGAAGGAACTGAGTGTGTGTGTGGGGGGGAGGGGTTGTGTGTGAAGGGACATTTATGAGGAGCGAGCTGCAGCTCAGAGGAGGGGCTTTGTGCGTGAAGGCGGAGCTTGGTCCCACTAAGCGTTTTGCATCGTTTAACGGTTGAGATTAAAAGACTCCTGAGGCATGCATGAAAGAATCAAATTAGCACTCTAGGTATGTTTTGATGAAGGAACATTATAATGTGATGTTATCTTACAAATCTTAGAAAAATAAATTTTACAAAACACTGCCCCTTTAACACCGACAGATCGAGTTGCCTTCATTGACCTGAAAGCACCAAACGGCGTTGCAGAAGGTCTCAGTCTATTTGCTGTCATGATATCAGCCACAGCCAACAGATAAAAGTAAGTAACTCAGAAGGCAGCGATGTCAGCAATAACGAGGATTACCATCGAGGCGAAAGCTGCAAAAGGTTGACATGTGTTTGTATACGGCACTGAAAAAAAGGTTTCCTCACATGTTATCAGCTCAGGGATCGCTGCTGTGATGGTGACATTTAAGGGCACACTTCCTGGAGGTGTCAGACTGGAGACCTGGCTGAGGTTGCAGAAGCAAAGAAATCCACTCTGTTCTTAACATCAGAAAAAAAAAAAATCATATTACACTAAAAAGGGGTGTTCATGCATAATGCTGGCCCAGACACCGTGAGCAGGAACACAAGCGGATGACTGGGATGATATCGCAATTACCAAGCTGGCGTTCTCTGAAAGGCAAGTCGTTCGCTAAATAGCAGTGTGCTGCGTCTCATGCAAGCAATAGTCATTGAAATAATTACACGGAAAAAAATATTTTGAAGTAATCACAGCACACATGTCGCAGTGTGCTGGCATGCAGCTGGTGAGTGGGTGTGTGCTCCAGAGTTGTGGTAGAAATCCGCTGGGGAGATCATTTAAATATTGGCTCAGACTGATAGGCATGAATCCGACTTCATTAAAATAGGTCTCCGCAAAGAAAGAAGTCTTTTTGAGAAGGATGAGATCATCCGTTCTCTTTCCCAGCCGAGGTCTTCACTTGTGAAATATGTTTGATCGCGGCGTAATTAGAATTATTCTGGATCTAAGATCCTATTTGGTAGAGCAGTTTCCATACTAAAAAACATCAAGTCATACATACTGGTACTAAGTATCAGTATTAATTCAATAATTCACAATCATTTTTACAAGACATGAATCTAAAAATGTGTGTCCGTACATTTGGCTTCATGTTTAGTTCCACACTAGTGGAAGGTCGACGCCTATGGACCTTGATATGGAGAATACACTATGGAGGATACACCTGATGGCTACTCTAAGCCTAGTGGATGTACATATATGGTCTCAACTGCAGGTTTTCAGTGAAGTCATTACTCACCGTAGAGGATGTTGATGAGGGAAATGGGCATGACCAGGATGCCTACGAGCATGTCCGCCACCGCCAGCGACCTCAGAAAGAAGTTGGTGGCGTTTTGCAGCTTCTTCTCCAGGGACACCGCCAGAATCACCAGGATGTTGCCGCCGACCGTCAGTGCGATGATCACCAGGATCAGCAGCGCCGGCCAGTTCTTCTCTTTGATCACGGACTTGGTCACCGACTCCTGGGTGGTCGAATTGTCCAAACCCAAACCCAGACTCATGGCTGCCGCACTCGCTCCTCCGCCGCCTCCCGTTCCCCATGTCAGCGTCTGATTGAAGTCCAGCGGGTTGTTGGTCGGCCAACCTATCTGACTCCCAACCTCCAGGGAGGAGGTGGTTGTGCCAAACCCACCGAGGAGAGCCCTTGCTGGGCCACCCATTCCTCACAAGAGTTGTCACTGTTTCAAAGACTGAAAGGTGTTGGACTCCTTTTGCTTGCTAGCAGCGCACAAAGCGTTGAGTTGGGTTTTCACACATGAGCTTAATTATGGATCGGCACAACATCCCTGGGAAGGAGAAACTTGACGGACAGGAAAGTAGAGGGAGAGGGTTGGGAGGGATTAGATTTTCTATCATACTATATCGGGGGGAAACAAAAGTGTTGCTTGCTGCAAACAGTCTCAAGTTGTTGTTTGAGGTTTAAACCTTCCATTTCCTGCCAAGATGCCACTGGCAAAGGGACCTCAACTTAGACGGCGAGCCATGCTGTCCCAAGTTGTTTATTGGTATTGCGCCACATTTCCCGCCTGCTAGAACACAGACCTTAAGTGTTTCTAATTGCGAGCTGGAAATCGGATCACTCAGATCCATGGCTTGCTGCCCACAGCCTTCTGCACCCACCCAATCAGCGGTGGTTTGTTTGCCAAAAGTTACGGCTCTCTTTGAATCTCTTGTTTTCCACTGTAAGTCTCACTTCTCAAGGTGTTTTTCTGTTGTTGTTTTTTTTCCCAAGCGGGTTTCCACCGTCTGTCAGATCAGCGTTGAGCTGCAGAGAAAACAGAATGGGAAGAGGAAGTTTGATTATTGTATCTGTCTACACCTTATCGTGCTTCCCTACCGCACCAAAATTGTGGGTTTGCTCTTCAATTCTCTCGTTTCTTTCTAGCTACCTCTGCATTTTAATCTCCTTAGTCACCTGGCTGCACCTTTGATGCATCCATCAACCCTCCCACTCAGTACTTGTCTTCTCTTTCCTGTCATCATCCTTGCAGCGAGTCTTCCCGAACCTCGCTACTTTATCATGTTGTCCTCGTTCATAACGAAAGCCTTCACAACGCGTAGAATAGAAAGGAGACTAAATCAAGAAAAATCTTGGATACACCCTGACATTGACATCTGTGTTCAAGCGCAACCTGTCCTCTAAGTTTACCTTTAACCCCTCAGTAAGCTCTGGGATTTAGCACCTCGCAAACCTCTTCAAGATCAGGTCAAGGAGTGTGCGAGGAGGTGTGTGGGAGTTGATGTGTGTGTGCACACAGATGTCTTTGCAACAAGAAGAAGACGCTTGACAGACTGTGGAAACTAGTGAGATGTGTTTTACTATGCGTGGGCATCAAACGTGAATGGCTGAGTGTGACTCCTTGAGTTCTTGTGCGCCTCAAGAGTGTGTGTTTTAAGAGCCAACACGTTTACAGATGGACCCGAGCCCTAAGCTGAGATCACTGCAGTGGGCAGTGGGTGTACGAAACTGCAAGATTAAGACGCCAAGTGTGACCATATGGTATTCAGTCGCTAACATACACAAAGAGACAGAATTCCTGTTTTGCCTGCTTCACCACGGGGGTGTTTGTAAACTGCTCAGAGTGTGCAAGTGTTTTCATTTGCCTCTATTATGTTTGTGTGTACAAATTAACTGTCTCAGCATAAATGTGTAAAATAAAGAAACAAATATTTTGGGTTATTAATGCCTGTGAGGGCAAACACGTTGTGTCAACCTAGGGGGTGTTATTTATTACAAGTCATGAAGAAGCTCACAGCTTGCTTCCTCTGATGTCGTTTCTGGAAAGTTGCACAATTCGATTAATATCTCTGTACATTTTTACACTCACTGTTTGACATTAAGTCAGACTAAGCATTCTCTGTTTTACCAAATTATTCATGTCACCGTCAGATTCGAGTGCAACGATTTCTGCAGAGGATAATAAAGATTTCAAAACACCTCATCCCAGAGCAACGTTTTCCCATGTTTCCATTAAGCAAACATATTTTCACCTTTTCAATTTGTGCAAATTCTGTGGTTAATGAAAATGCAGGTGCTGCCAAATACTCCAAAAGCACAAATGACTAACTTGGGAAAGCATTGTAAGATATCAGGATTCTCTTTTGATTCATAATTTTTTTTATAGCTATGCTCCACCAATATTACAACATTTTATTCAAATGAGCACCAGCGAGTGAACAAGGCCAGAATCTAGAGTTGATGGTTCAATTCCACGTAGGAAAAATGCTTTGGGTCAAGATACTTTGTTTTTAGAATACAATTCAGAATAACATAAGGAACCTTTTACGTCTCATTTCATGAAAAAACAAGGGAACATAAAGCTAGTTGCTCGCTAGTTTACTTAATGATGCTGCTGTATATCGAATAAAAATGACACATTTTGATGAATTAGGAATTTGTAGAGCAGAGGACTCGTAGGAAATCCAGAGTGACAATTTCGAAGGACAACAAAGGATTAGCTGTGCAAGCTATGTTGTAATACAAAGTTTATCACTTCTCCCATCAACCGTGCGTAATAGACAGGCTGCTTCCTATATTCCCCTCTGAGCAAAAACATCAGCATTGTTCACAGGAAGCTAAACAGAACTGGAGGCAAACCATTTTACTGGTCTGATAAAGCAGCAATGCATCACAGAGAACGGAGCAGCATGAAGAGGCACGTGGACGAGGACTGGGAAGGTAAAAGAATAAAGGAGTCCAAGTTGCACAACATGCAACCAATCACTTCACTCTGCTGGATAGTAAGTTGTTATTCAACCACTGCTTATCCTTTTCCTTTTAATCATTTAGCTTTAGCCTTAAACCTGGCATGAAAACAGACAGTTCATTAGCTTACAACCAAAGATTAGATGCAGCCTGCAGAGAGAATAATTGTGCGCCTCGGCTAACCACTCGCGTCCTCTGTGGATCATGATTGGTGTTGTGACAGCACAACACATTCTAGCCGACTTCCTGGGGAGAAGCCACGAAGATCCAGCTGGAGAATCATAAAGGAATCGTGCCGCCGAAGCCTCGGAAAGGCGCCAATGTCACCGCCGTCCTATCGCACGTCGCCGCTGGGACAAATTGCTGCTGCACTAATCTGCTCTGTGAGATAAGGAAGTGGAGGGTGGCAAAGTGAAGCAAGTTTGAACGAACGTTTTACTGTTTTCTTAATGTCGTTTTTTGATCAATTGTGTCAAATTCCAAAATGTTTTTTAATAGCTGATTTTTACAGTATGGTAGAATGAAAAAAAAAATCTTTTTAGCCGTTTCTCAAAAAACATTCAGTTTTTAAAATAGCAAAAGTCCAAAACGCCACCTGCAGTCAAATGTTGACGGTTAGTTTTGTCTGTAGAACGACATTCTAACACTTGAACGGAAAAAAATGAAATGAAAATAACCCGAACTGAAAGGTTGGTGAATCCTAATGATGTTGCCTCAGGCGCAGAGGCAAACATTGACAAGTAGCTTCCTGTAACGAAGAGGGCAAAGAAGCATCCTTTATTGTTTAATTGGTCGATGTAAGAGTCCCTGACAAAATTCAACTACGGATTTCACACCTGTATCTGTTGAACAGCCAATATTTAATAAACAGCCAATATTTAATATCACCTGAAGTTACACCTCAGGGTGAAACGACATTCTGTGGCCCTTTAAGGCAAAGATTGACGTGACGTAATTATCCACTGAAACACTTCAAAAATATTCAGAAGAATAAACGTCTTTATCATATAAATCAATTCAATAAAACATTCATCCTTATACCTTTCTGTGCAATTTCATCCAGTCTTGTGTATAACTAGTTCAATTGCATGAGCTTTGTGTTTACGTTCACACTGCCGGGCTGAACACTCAATTCCAATTTATTTCTGAAATACTTTTTTGGCCGTGATTTTCCACATTTCCAAATATGTACGACTTGTACATGATATTCTGAGAGAACTCTAAACGACCTAAAACTGTCCCACATGCGCAGTTTCAGCGCTACCGTGAATAACGTGGTTTGTTTTCTAAATTGACGGGTTTCTATTTCCCCTCCTGCAGTCTTAAGAGATCGGGTCATTTGGGCCCCACTGTGTTTTTTATGAGGTTTTTCTGATGGTCTGACGGGACAACCCCCCAACTTTCCCAAGTGATATTGGGAAAGTTGAACGTGAGTGTTGGACAAAATAATTTTCGTAGTTCCAATTTGTCCAATTCTATGGTCAATAGAAACGCAACTTTTAACTGTTCCTCACAGGCTGTTGATTTTCTTCAGACTGGCAGATGGTGCGCTGTTTTCGCCTACTTCATGCCGACAGGTTTCAGTGTCTTGATTCTGTCGGTCTGACAGTAACCCTTCTTTCACAGCGTTGCATTTGGTGTTGATGCAACGAGTCGTTGAAGTAACAGATTGTTGTCTGTATTGTCAGAGGAAAAACCCTGAATGATGGATGGTCCGGCAGACAAACAAATCCTCAACGGAATGATCACGTCAACGACAAGCTGCAGCACAGGATTGAGTTAGCTTCAAATCTAAGACGACGGCAATTAGGTGCTCAAGGTGTTAAAAAAACAATGTCATTTTGCTCAATTGGTCATAACTTTCTAGCTGACAAGTCATAAATCAACGAGACAGGCATAGAGTGACAGATTTAGAGAAGAGTGGTCTCTCACTTCTTCTTCTCTCCCGCTGACCGATGTGCTGGAACTTTTCCACTCATTTCTGTTACCGTCAGAAGTGACTCTTGGCGACGCAGCGTCTCTGGCTTGCTCCCTCACCTGACGTATCCATCCCCATCTCATATGTCACTCCACACATCTCTGGCGAAGTGTCGCCATCATTTATTCGCCTGCAGAAGAGAAGGAAGAAAGGAAGGGAGGAAGGAGGGAGGGAAGGGGGAAAAAAAACAAAGAGAGGCTGACTTTGATGTTCTGCTGTGAAACACTTCAGATCAAACCTGAGGTAAATGTGACTGAAAACCTCCTGGAACTACAATGACTCCTACACACACCCACACACACAAGCAAGCGCAGCAGCATCACTGCGGATCGTTTCTCCTCACGGCTTTTATCCAGCAGGATCACAGCCTCACAGCGTACGGTTAGATTAGACGATTCTGAAGTTTCAACAGCATCCAAACCCCAAGGATACAAGCGAGTAAGAGAAGGTAATGTCTGAAATTTGTTTTGACAAATTCACCTTAAAAAGAAAAAAGCCTGAATTTTGCTAACTTTTGTAGAGATTTGTTTTAGTGTGTTTTGAAACTTGAGTGCTGACCTCTGCGTGTTTTTTCCAGAACTCGTCCAGAGCAATTTCAAGGTGATTATGCATGTGTCGTTTTCAAAGACGCCACCTGGACGTTTTCTAGCTAACAACCTGAGGGGGAAACATTATCAAGGAAATTCATGAGACATGCTGACATTTCAAGCTTTTATTTTTTTTCGTTTTTAATGGCAGTTTGTGAGAAACAGATGGTTGCTCCTCCCCCCAAAAATGTACATTTCTGAAATAATGTGGTAGGAACAGACAGCTTTTAGCTTCACCTTTAACATATTAAAAAGAAGCATCTTCTAAAGTGAAAAAAACAAACAAAAAAAGTCTAATATGTTATTCATTCTTGGGCCTCCTTGTAAAAACAGCTCCATTTTATTGCATCTTTTTCAATAAATCAATCAGTTTGTCACACAGAAATGCAGACTCTCTAGGTCTCAGTAGGTTGAATTAATCAATAGCTTTATTTCCGTTAACCATAAAATTGTCCAAATTGAAGTTATGAAAATAAATCCGCTGAACGGAAACACACTGATTTTGAGAAAAAAAAAATATTGCTAGCATGTTGGGTGGTTTTCCAGCGGTATTGAAACACTTTTTTTCCCTCTTCCCACGACTCACGTTATCAACAGCCAGATGTTACTACTGGCAAAAACGCCAAAGAAGACAACAGGAGGTCGACGGTTTGTTTTTTTTCGGCCGATGTGCATTTGGCTTCATCAGAGCTCTCAAGCTTCACAACGGTTCATAAAAAGTTGTGTCGCTTGAAGGCGCCCACCGTTTGTGAGACGCCTCTTATGTGTCTCAACTATAAGAGGTTTGTCATTCCAACGGCTGAATAAGACGCCGGCGTCTCCTCTGATGGTTGATATCGCCATGGCTTAATTAAAAATATATCTCCTAACTGTTTATGATATATTTGAAGCCCTGATCATGAAAATGAACTTGAATCACAACTTGAAATATAGAACTCTGTCTCCAATGAATTTATTTACTTTCCTTCTTGAATTTAATCAGATAAATAAATAAACTATTCAAATATACTCTAATTTACAGAGAACAGCACTAAACAGTACATAAATTCAATAAAAATACAGTAAAAAGAAAAACAAATTGAAGAAGTAAGGTGAAGTTAAAGACAAAGCCAGCAGAGAGAAACACGAACTCCGTGCTGCAGCGCTAATGTGAAACCCCATCATTCACGGTCTCCGTCTGTGTGTGCATTGGTGTGTCTGTGATTGGTGTCACAGACGATGAGGAGTGAACTCGTGAGATGAAGATGTTGCTGTCAACTGCTGGGCTACTGCAAAAACAAAACAGGAGGTTCACAGACCAAAAAAACCTCCAACAAAGAACGGAAAACACAACGCACGTATTCAACCAAAGGCACATTTTACATTTTCCTGTTTGCAAGAGATTGAGCCAAGAGCTGAGAGAAGGGACAACCGGACGCCGAACGGTGAAAAAAGACCGTGAGCGAAACCTGACAGGAGCGTAAGCGATCGAGGACACAACGGAGGGTAGAACACGGCGTCCCCTAAATTAGTCAAGAGGCTCCGATTACACGTAGTGGACACTCAGCTGCGTACAAAAGCCGAAACATGGAGAGGCAGAGAAGCTATTTGGTGCCACACACATTTAGAGAGATAAAAGAGAGAAGAGGGAGCGGATAAAAGTCAAGATTCAAAGGACACAAATGATAGAAGATGACAAAGCCAGAGACACTCAGATAATTGGAAGACAGGGAATGACTGCGACACGGGTAAAAGAAGGCAGCGCAGCTGAAGAATGTTAATGGCTCACCATGACATGGTGGGTTATAGTTTTATTCTGGGAGAGGAAACGGATTGGAAGTGACGTTAGATGGAAAGTAAAGATGGCAGGAGTCAACAACGGCTGGGTGAGAGGGAAGAGAACGGAGCCGGAGCAAACAGGAAGGCCTAATAACGCAAGACGTACAGGTGGAAGAAAGACGTGACGCTGGAAATATGGAGCACAGAAATGAAAGAACAAAACACCCAAACGACAGACGCGTTTCTATTAACTGTAAAATGGAGCGAATTGAAATTATGAAAATAAATTGGCTTAAAAACCTTTTTTTTGACACGTTTTTGCGCTAGGAAACACTTTTTGGCATGATCAACAACTGGATGTTAATGCTGGCGAAAACAACAAAGACAGCAGGAAGTAGTAAGAAAATTATAGTTTGTTTCCTTATTTTGCTCCCTTGTGTTAGTTTCCTTTCCTCAGTTTCTCCTGTTTTGCCTCTAATTAGTTCCCAACATTCATTCTTACCTGCCTTTGATTCTACCCCTAAGATGGCTGCAAAACTTGAAAATTGTTTTCCAAAAATGCCTTCCATCAGATCTGATTGAACTGTCCTACGAGTACAGAAGGGCAAAGTTGATAAAGACGTACCCCAAAAAACTGTAGCTGCAAGGAGAGGCAATTCTGAAAGTATTGACTCAGGGTCAACTGGATCTGTGCCTCAATTCTTCAGATTCTCATTGGTGAAAAACTTCAAAATCGTGTTCCAAATTCTCCCAAATCCTGTATTCCAGTCAAGTTTCTGGTCAGGTGTCTCAATCTGCTTCCGAGACGTGTTTCCAAACACGCTGGAAGATGATGAGAGCATCTCTGATGTCACAGTCGGCATGTGGATGCTGGAGAGATGGACGAGCTTTAGAGAAGCAACAGCAGGTACGTAGGCGGGCAGCAGCAAAGATGCACCAAGTGAGGCAGCTTAAATGCACTGACCAGATTGGAAGGGTGTGTTTGAAATGCTCTGTTGAGTGGGAAGCAGCGGCACAGTTTTGAGTAACTACCTGAATTAGCTTCTGTGAATGGCTTCATGATGAGGACAGATTTAGGTCTGTTTGGAGTCATTTTCATCAAAAAGCTCAACATTATCTGAAATATCTAGGATTTTTGTTGAGCCATAGAAGTTTAAGACTTGTTCCGGTCAGTGTTAGCCTGGCTATGGCCTTCCTGCTCAGTTCAAATCTCATTTCACCACTTCACTCAGTCGTGGATTCCTCCCATTGACTTGGATTCCTCTGGTAGAATTTCAGCCAAGTAGCCAGCGGGAAGAGAAGCTGTGAATGATGATGTGTTCTTCCTGCAGTTTTAATAATAGAGGAAGTGAACGAAGACGTTCAGTCCAAAATGGTGGCCACGCCTCAAAATCGTCACCTTTTTGCCAAAATAATCTCCACCTTTCTTTCCAAAAGGTGATCCAAGCAAAAAAATTTTTTGATTACTATTATTTAGGAAGGTGAGGAAATACTGAATTAATATCAGCAGCCGCCTCGTTCTGTTCGACTGGAGGATTATTGTTTACAGCTCAGGCAATTAAGCTTCACAACGTCGAACTGGGGCTTTACAAACGTCAGCGTAAAGGTAAAGGTAGCGTCAGGTAAAGTTAAAAACTTCAACAGAGTCCACACACACCCATCATTTCTCAACAAACCAAGGGTCCAAACCGTCAGTATGAAGCAAAGCGTAGAACAAAGAGCTGGTTCTAAGTCAGACTGAAAGAAGAAGAAAACTTGTGCAGAACTGGCTGTGCTTTTTACCACACATAGACCATTTAGTTGGTGTTTCAAACAACTCATGTTTTCAGAAGTCCTAAGAAAAAGATTTTTGATCACAATTGAAGCCGTACATGGTAACCCACAGCTCACCGCTAGTTTGTTTTCATTCTAGTTTACTTCAAACTAACTGCCCAAACTATTGTCTCTTTAGTAAACCTATATTTTCTTTCCTGATTTCTTACGTAGTTCATATGGAGTGCACACATATCAACACCTCAAGGTCAAAATTTTGTTTTATGTTGAATTGAGGGCCTTTGCTTTACTTGCCAGAGGGTCATCTTCTCCTTCCCAGTTGGGGAAATGTGTATGAACTGCCTGAGGAACCTGAAGGAGTCCAAACAGCCTCGTTGGACTGAACTGAATGCTTCACTCCTTCAGGAATGTTTCGGGTTTGTTCCAATGTTCTGGGTTAGTTATTTTGTCTTCTGCTTCTGTGTCATATGGTTCAGCTAAACCATTGTTTAAGTTCCTCCTCCATCAGTTTGTCTTACGTTTTAGGTAAAACGATCAAAAACAAATTAAAACTCAGTGTGATTTTTTTTTTACTCTATTGATTTTCCATCTAAGTTTGGCCGAGTAGATGCAAAAACACCTGAACTTGTAAAAGGAAGTAAGAGCTCCACAATAGGATTCTGCAGTTTTTTTGATGAAACAACTTCAATAATTTTCAATTATTGGTTTTAATTTGATATTGGACTGTGTTCTTTACCCCCCGTCCAGGAGGAAAATTAATAAGGAGGAGAAGAAGGAAGTCTGAAGGAAGGAATTGGAAAATGTCACTCAAGAGTCAATAATGGAGGTAATGAAAATGGAGCACTTCTTATTGACGCCACTGCGATGTAGAGGGAAAAAAAACTGTGAAAGAGAGAAAGTGCAACAAGGATGTATTATTACTCAACCACACATTACACCCCGGAGAAATTCATTATTTCCTGAAAGTCCTCTCGGCTATTAATCAGAGGCAGACTCCGCCCTACATTTATCG